GTGTCAGGTTTAGCTTCCTTGCGGACTGACACTTGTGGAGACATTACTGTATTATAATATTTACAGTTATATTATTATTAGATATTATTATCATTATTGTTTTTATTATTATTAGTAAGAACCTTTACAATTATAAATCAAAGCGCGAAAACGCCAAGCAACCATCACAGGTAGGAAAGGGTGAAGTTGGGAAAAACCCAAGAAGCGACGCTCAACTCCGGGCCCTTTTCCTGACCGTTGATTGGTCGGAAGCAAGGTACCAAAACATCATATAAAAACCATGTACCCGCACAAAGTCAGCAGATAATTTTAATCATTAGGCAACCTAACGTCTCTAAATTTTTTCAGTGTATAGGGTGGATTTACACCAGGTGACTCTACACCAATCCAAGCTAAGATCTCAACAGGCGCTGCCTGTTTAAATAAAAAAAAAAAATAAAAAAAAAGTCAGCAGATAGTCTTAATCAGTACACCTGAAACGACACCTGATGAACCTAAACATTCAATAAAACACATCCAGCACATTTCTGGACTTTACTCATTTAAACAACCCGAGACAAAGGCGATCTCGACCGTTACGGTCCATTCCGTAACACACAGTTTCCTGCTTTTATACATAATATAGTAATATATGCACGAATTTACTTACAAGAAACAAATATACAGGTTATGATAGTCGTTTGTAATATCATCGTAAAGGAAGCGATTCTTTGTGAAAGAATAAATAAGAAAAACTTTTCATTTTTTTTAAATTACTTTTCAACATTCAAGGGACACATATGTATGTTTAAATGGAATTTGGATGTTCTATCACTTTGTTACTGATTTCGTATCCATATTAGGAAGGTAATGCACAAGTGTTCTGCAGATCGCGTGTGACACATTTAGCCCGTTGCAATACAAGGTGTCCGGTAATAGCTAGTAGAAAATTTAAAGGGCGATTCTAGAAACCGATATAAGAAAAGAATCAAGAATAAAAAAATTGCCTTTGAGGCTTCGTTTTTCACGTATTAACACGCGAAAATATTCCTGTAACCGAGCTAACCTCCCAACGCCAATGAATATAGGGCATATTAAAACACGGGGGATACAGTCATCCTCAAAATCAACGACACATGGCCGGTATCTTACCTTATACAAATCGTAGATAAAAAGAGAGTGACGGCGTCGTAAACAACATTACCAATTTTTGCGGTACCTATCGTTTGCTTCATCAGTACGCAGGTACATGAAGGAAAGTTCTTCAAACGTGTATTTCATTATGTACTGCAAACGCAAAGTACACTATACACGGAACAACCACAAACATGCAAACCACTGAAAAACAATCGCTGTACACTACGGTATTCACATACACACGCGTAGGCATGAAATGAAAATTAAAAAATGCAAAGAAAACTGAAAAAGTTAAAGAAAAATACATTAAACCTATATTAAAAGTACACTGAAATGTAATATAAACTTTGGTTAATATCTCGTTAATTATTAGCTTTAGGACAAACAATGTTTCATACTTTTCTACTTGGAAATTAATGAGCTTTCGAACAGCCGTCAAAAAGTAGGGTATTCCATTAAAAAAAAACAAAGTTAACCTTCAAATCTCCTAAGCTCCTACACTTATAAAGAAGTCGTGTACACCACGTGATGTCCCTCTTGATACCATGTAACCTTTGTAGAAATAATTTTTTGTGCAACGCATAATTCAGAAGTTACTGGAGGTGATCAAGTTAGAAATACAATATTCAGCGTTTATAGCAAAATTAAATGTAACGATGCCTATTAAAAATCGAATCATTTTGTAATATGTGAGAGTAGTTGATAGTTTTCTTCAACTATTGACAATCAAATAACTGTTATTTCGGTCATTTCATTACGTGATTAGTATTAGTTTCTTTTTGAGTGTACTCATTCAATTCCTACATTGAAAAAGAATAGAAGAGCTAATTGAAATGCAATATTATCTCTACAATCGTGTCATATAACTGTGTATGTATGTATATACAGTTGCGGTCATTAATTTCCGGTCACTTTTAGAACAGTATAACTTTTTAAAAATTGGACCAAACAATTTGAGTTTTTTTGAGAATGACATGTACAAAAAATTTTGAAAAAATTGTAATTTGTGGGCATCGCGAAGAAAATTGTAAAGGTCACTGTTTACAACTTTTTTATCTGAGCTTGTGAAAATTTAATACATACGTTTTGTAGATTTATGTCAATTATATATATACATGCTGAAAATTTCATCAAAATCGATTAAAGTTACTATAAGCTACAAACTGTTAAAAATTGTGAACATTACTGTTTCTCACGACTTTCGGTCTATAATTGTAATAAATCTAAAGATTCTTATATATTTCTATGCCTGTCTCTTTTTTCTGCATCATCCGATTTCGATGAAATTTTCAGCATTTACACTACCGGCCAAAAGTTTGGAATTACTACGTAAATTAAGAGAAACAGGATATTTCTAAGAAAACTTGAACGCCTACAAAGTAATTAAAAGTTTTATTTGTCAAAGTACTTATCAGTAGAATATTTTACATTTTGTATTACTTTTTGTACGAAGAAATAGATATTTTTCTTTAAATTGCCTTTTAATCAAAAAGCCGCCCTTACTTCTAATGACAGCTTGACATATTCTGGGCATCCTGGCAATTAGTTTTTCGAGTATTTCTAACTTTACATTTTTCCATGCTCCTTGTAGTAGTTGCCAAAGGTGTCCTTTCGATGTTGGACAGTGCAACCGGATATTCCGATCGAGCTCTTCCCACAAAAACTTTATCGGGATCAAATCCGGTGATTGTGCTGGTCATGTCATATTCCTCAAGACCTGCTCTGTTCCTTTTTGCAATAAGATCCCTTTACACAATTTAGATGAGTGCTTAGGGTCGTTATCTTACTGCATAATAAAATTTCTACGTATTAACCGGTGACCTGATGGTAGAGCGTGCTGCTCGAGTATCTGTTTATAATCTTCTTTTTTCGTTGTATTTTCTATTTTGATTAGGTCTCCTACTCCAACCGTTGAGAAACATCCCCAGACCATAACTGAACCACCGCCATGTTTGACAATAGGTATAATACACTCTGGCAACATTTTTTCTTGTACAGATCGGTGAACAAATATCCTTCGGTGCGACCTAAATATTTCGAACTTGGATTCGTCAGTCCAAAGAACCTTACCCCAGTCCGTAGGTGTCCAATTTTTGTGACTTTTGCCCAATTTTTCGACGAAAGCAATGGTTTCCTGACTGTTATACGGCAATTTAAACCTGCAGCTCTTATTCGCCTTTTCACCGTGTTCAGAGATATTGGATTCGGTCTACTATCATTAAGTCCTACACGAATTTCCGTGGCCGTTAGTCGTCTGTTTCGTTTGCAAATAATATTTATTCTTACATCTTCAGCTCTCGACCTGATTTTAAGTCTTCCTGACCGTGGTTTGTCGTAAGGCGAAAACAGAGTATCTTTCCCGGCAGTAGAAAAGTTCATTCCGAGCGTTGCCTTAAACTGAGTGTATGAATTATATAATAGTATTATGGACATAAGAAAATGCTGAAATCTCTTAAAGTATAATTCAACTTGTTAACATCTGATATATTAACGATGGATCACCCCAAAATTTTCCGGTATATTCGACTTTGATAGAAATCGGCAAGTGATTCCAAACTTTTGGCCGGTAGTGTACATATATCATTGACATAAGTCTATAAAACCTATGTTTTAAGAATTCATTACAAGCTCAGTTAGGAAAAGTGACCTTTACAATTTTCTTCGCGATTCCCACAAATTACAATTTTTTCAAGATTTTTTAAACACGTCATCTAGTAAACTAATCTTTCTAACTTTTCAAAAAAACTCAAATCGTTTGGTCCAATTTAAAAAAAGTTATACTGTTCTAATAGTGGTCGGAAATTAATGACCGCAACTCCGTGTGCACGCGCGCAAATGAAAATTTGTAGAAAATCGGAGAAGCGAAAATGTCTAGAAGCGTCTATAAAATTTAAAAGAAAACTGGGAGAAGTTGTCGAATCGATATAAACGCATTCTCCAAATGTGCACAGAAATATTGAAAGTATTAACTTCTTGAAATTCGTTAAGTTTGATTTATTGAGTGCTAGGTGATGGGTACATTAAGGTCGTGGATAGAACGGTGGAAGTCAACGGTGAACATCCAAAATAAAATGACGTGTCTTGGGAAGAATATTGTTAATACACCGACTGGATTTATTTTCAAATGTATATCATGGTTCCCAGCGTTTGGATAAATTACGAGAGTAGAAGTTATCGTGAGAAAGGAACATTACCTGGTATATTCGAAAAGCTGCACACCTCGTGGTATCACGTACATATGTATACACTGTCAAGAAGCAATTGAGGTCAAACGTAAAAGAGAGTTGAGTCGAAGAATAACACTTCAAAACAATCTCCCTGTATGTGGCTTCCGGGTGTAAGCCGTGTCCAGGAAGATAAGTTTTCCAACGTTTCATAAGCATTGCAGCTAGCTTCATTAAGGGTTTACGGACGCACTGATACTCAGTACATATCAGTGCTTCCTCAGACCCCTGATGCTGCAATAGGGCTTACACCCTAAAGATTCAGAGAAAAAAGTGTTTTCAAAGAAAAAAGTGGCAAAACATCGGCTTTTTGCTTGCAATTTTGAGAAGGTCTTGTTGCACGTGATCGTTGGTTTACCTGCAAGTGGCTACTATTCCTTCACCTACGCATAATGTACATTTATTTCACTCAATATCAGGTGAACGTGTTACAGTTCTCTTCACCGCAGTCTTAATACGTATAGCAGTCACCGGTATTAAGTTAATAGCGAAGATGCTGGTAAACCCATTTTCCGTGGTTTCTTCCGTTGTGAAATCTCTCGTTCAGTATTTTCACTTACATAGATAGCTTGCGAGCGTAAGTATACCTGTGACGCAGAAAATTCAAGCTCGGCACAAAGTTTAGTACCGCTACACATTTTTTCTAGAGAGGAAGGATGAAATGCTCTCATTCTGTCATGCCTAAGTTGAAGTCCTTTCTTCTAATCCTTCCATGGAAGGAAGCTTTTGTACAAAACATTTATTATAAAAAGCATTGGTACTTATTATTATGTAAATATATTTTAATTTGGCGCACATACATTGTTATATCTTACACATATGGTGCTATTTTTTCATTTATATAAAATTGTCAGACATACGTTCAATATGTTCATTTTAATTTCAGATGAGCTTCCCAGGCAACTGGTGTGTAAAACAAGAAATGCCAATTGTACCTTGTGATAAACAATTCTTAGGCAGAGGACCTATACAAGATGTAACAACACAGAAATGTGATTATATATGGAAGACCACACCGTTAGAACCAGATCTTCGTCATAAAGATAATCTTATTCCTGGAGGTTCACCTATTGAATGTACGTAATATCATTTCATTACTGTGTAATGAAATATACAGATCTAAGAAAGCTACGATATTGTAGAATTTGTAATTGTTATGTGTTTTTCATATAATAGTTTATAATTATGCTTTGCGGTTATTACAATTGAAAGAACGTGATAAGTAAGTGAAATAGCAATTTAACACAGTTCGCAACGCTAAGGCACCTATTATGCAACTCGAAAAACTACACTACTCCACAAAATTAAAGGATCACTAGCTTTTGACTGAAAAATTGTCGATATTTGAATTACTGTAACTTCGTGAAAACAAATCATAGAACAGTCTACTTAGACTCATTTTAACCCTTTCGCTACGGCACACAGTGCGTCGAGTGATAGGGGGATGTGGATAAAAATGATATTTGCTTTTTTTTAAATTTGTTCGTGTTTAGTAACACAGAAGACGAATTCAGAGCGGAATTTGAAGTTGTGTAGATTTTTTTTCATTAAAATACTTATATAAATAAATGAGTTTTTTTTTACTAAAGAAGCAAACATTCTGTTAAAAGAAACATGTAACAGCTTTTCATTTTCTTTTCATATTTAGAATACATAAATAAAGTTGAAAATAAGCAAAATAAACATAAACTCAAATAATAGAATAAATAATTGAAAATAAAGGAAACGTAATATAAAAAATGCTGAAATGTTTTAATCAGACTCATTTGAATTTGGCATTTCATAATTTATTTCAGAATTGACCACAGGAAATGGTAAATCAGTTGATAAACATAAATTGTCTGATTCCATTATAATATAGGCTTGAATGTCCGTACCTGAATTCTTGGATTGCTTAATTGAGATATGAAGAGATCAGATCTCAGCAGTAGCAGGTTTAATAAACCGCTATTGGTATTTTTCCTGGAGGATTTCCGTGTGTGAGAAAGACGATGTCTTCTAAATTCTCTGTGGCTTGCTTCTAAAGATTTTTCCGCGAGTTGCCCAATAGGCAAATCAAAAAAGGAAATTATGTCGGGTGCCTGAATTAATAACTTATGTAAACTGTTAGGCATATAATACCAGCCGTAGAGTTGTATGTACAGGTCTTTTGTTTCCTGCAATATTTCATTAAATGTAGTTAAATTCATTTTTCCTCCGCAGGTAATCATTCTTAAGATAATAAAAAAATTCTTAATTAATTGCATATCTGTACCTATGATTTTTGCAGTTAACACGTTCCGTGCCGCGTGGGTCGCATACGTCCCACTCTGGACTTTCCGTTCAGGCCATTTGATATTTCGGCCTTTTCCTTCCGCTGACTTAAACTGTGCAACTACGGCGATAATTTGTTGAAACAAACATTTTTCCTTTATTCTATAGCGTATCTTGAACATTACCTTTTTCACGATAACAATGATTTTTGCAATCTTGTAAATATTGGAAGACACATAGGGTGAAAAGCAAAACTGTTAGTCTCGACAACGTGGGGCGCATACGACCCACGCGACGTGAACGGAAAGTCAACGAAAATCGGTGCGGCGCGGAACGTGTTAATTTTGGGTTTGCAAAGAACCGCTTAGCGGTATTGCCGTCATTTGTGGATCCAAAGCCATGCTTGGATTTGTGGCGGGTACGTCGTCGTCAACAAACCCTTACCGAACCTTGTTCTATTCTTCCACGCGAACTTTCTCTTTTCCAACTCCTTCAGATTTTAGTTTCCGTTCTTTTGTCTCTCCCCGGGTGAAGACTTGCCTTCGTCCTCGAGTAGTCTAAGAAACGCACATGTCACATCCAGGTTCGCACGAGGACGAACGGTCCGCTTTTTACGAATTTTCCGTTTCCACCACTTTCTCCACTTCTATCTTTATCTATCGCTACTCCTGTCTCCCTGTCCTAACAATATAAAAACCCAGTACGCCTACACCTCGAGACAGTTTGTTCCTTTACCGACCATCGCGACGTACCCGCCGAACCGCTGCCGCCGGGACAATTAACAAAGTAAACGATTGTATTTTCGGGACCAATTATACGCCGACCATACACTTATACTTTAATAAATTTAGGTGAAAAGAGTGTAACGACGTTCCTCACCCACCTCAGATTCATCCACGATTAGTTCCATCATTTTCTTCAAAAATTTTTGTCGGAACCACGCATCTGCCAAGTTTGCAAGGGCAATCTGTATGCAACGTAAAGCAAACACTCGAAGTTTGGAATCCAACAAAGCAGAGGGGAAATTCCAAAACGACAGTTCTCTTGCTTAGGTTTTTTATCGCTGATAGTTTTCTGGTTCATTTCCTTTGGAGTCATGCCACAAATATAGCACTTAGATGTGGCATTAGTGCGAGACAAAATGTTACTTACACTACCATCAATATGATGATTTTTCCAAAACTCCTTACCAGTGTTAGTATCTATCAATTGAAGGGGATGGAAAGCAATTAAAAACAAAAATTCATCTGTGTTTTCTGGAACGACAACTATTTGTTTGTAGGTACTGTGCCCCAAACTTCCTTCGAACCTCCATTTATGTATGTACATATTAAGGTCGTTGTTGTACTCTGTTCTATATCTATGGATTTAATAATTTTTGGAGGTCAACATATGCTGTTATCTCCGTTATTATCCTGTTCACCGGTAGAATTTTTTTTTAATTGCTTTAGTGTGCAAAAGACGGGGAAGCAGTCTTTATGCACGGCGTTGACCACTGTTCGTAATAAATTGTATTTTCTTTCCGACAGATCTAAATTGAAATATAAAGCCAATGCTTTTTGGGGTGATAATGAAGTTTCAGTATTGCTTAGATTTGTAACAGCTAAACTTGCAGAAATTTTCGCTGCATAATTTAATTCTTCTGATTGCCATGACTGAACAAGAGTCTCGACCCTACGTTTTTTAGTCTTCTCTAAAGATTCTTGAAATGACTTACGCATAGGAAGCTCGTCTGTTGACGAATGTTCTACCAAATTCTTCACACTTTATAGTAGATTAAATTCGCAACCTAACCAAACTTGGTGCCGCTTTGTGAATAAAGTTCGATTTCGTAAACTGTAGCGTGAGGTTTATTTAAATCCCACGGGGTGGTAGTGAGGTCGTATTATAGCTAAACGGAAGCGATTATGCCTCTAAAAACGGTTGGCGAGAGTGCGCGAATTTGACGCGAGTCAAGTTCGGCTTGGCCAGGTCTCCCAAAGGAGGGAGAGGGGGTTAGGTGGAATAGGTTAGAGTGAGAGGGAGAGAGGAAGAGAAACTATCGTCTGTGACCCGCGAAGGAGACGTCTGTTGTCTCGGGGAAGGTGTCTTGGATAGTTGGAGTCAACCTAGAGGGGTCGCTATGACCCGCGAAGGAGCGTCTGCCTCTAGGAGGTGGATAGGTGAGGATTGCGAGGGGAGAGACAGGACAGGAACCCTGGTCCTGGAGTCTTCGGTTGCTCCGTACTGACTGTCGCAAAACAAGGAGTGTCGTCTATAAGTCCGCGAAGGAGACGTCTGCTCGGTATACGCTTGAGTTGTCTTAGACGGCTTCCCGTAAGAACTGATTTTCTATGGCAAAAGGCCGTCTTTTATATGTTTTAGGAAGGCGAGACCCGACCAATCAGGGTGGGTCAAGCCTTTTCGCAGGGTTGGGGGCGCACGAGCCGCTGTCTGCTACCTGAGGCCACGGGGGGTCTAGCGAGTACGCAGCTCGTACTCGGTATGGTAGCGAAAAAAAAGCGGTTACTCTACAAAACACTTTTTTCACAATCTACAAGTGCAATTTTCCATCAAATTCTTGTCAATCATTTTCGGACAGTCTTTTATATTTAAAAGTGCCAAAATGTATTCATAAATTCCATCAATTTTTTTGTGTTGGTCCAAAGAGATCCACTTTTCAAAAATTTTGAAATTGTCGATTTCCACGGTTCTTCCTAAAAATTTTGTTTCTTAAATATTAGTAGCTAGTAGCAGGAAAGGACTTCATTTTCGTCAAACATAAAGTTAAGGGAACCAAATATTAAAAAAAACTCCGATACATATTTTTTCATATTTTTTAAAAATTCGGTTGAAATAATATTTTAATTCTCGGGGATGAGCAGTTTTTCAATGATCAATAAAGCCATAAACCTAGAAAATAGTTTTGAAATACACATACCTATAATAATAGAATCCATTGCCAATAAAATGAGCCAAGATTAATAAATATGCTTATGGTCTAATAAAAAAAAAAAAGAACTGGGACTGAAAGTTGAAGTGATTAAAGTCTATGTTAAGGTGGTTAACGGGAATATAAACACCTACGGTTGCTTAGCAACCGCAAACAGGTCGAATCGTGAGCATCTAGGGCAGGGGTTCCCAAAGTGTGGTCCGCAAACCATAGATGCGGCCCGCGATGGCAGATCAGCCGCGATCTTGTATTTACAGAGATAATTCAGTTAAAAAAATACTAAATTTTATGTGTAATATATCTTGTTATTATATAGATTGTATATATTTTATTATCTTAACGGCCAATGGCCGTAATTGTCTCAATGGCCCGCCAAATATTTTGGAATTTACAATTTGGCCCACCTAGGCAAAACTTTGGGAACCCCTGATCTAGGGGTACATATTCAATGCTAAATATAGCCCTAGAAAATATTTGTTTTTCGATATTTGTACACATATCGACGCACTATGCAGCAGTCCGCTCCGCCGGAACGCGACCATTGAACGGGGCCCCACGCCAAAAATGTACACATTGCGCCTGGCCAGTCTTCGACGTTCCTGTTTATGTCTTCGTTACGTCTTCGACTTCGGTTTTTTTCTGCCAGCATATAAAATGAGAAAAAATGTCTTTCTATTAATCGCACGGGATTATCATTGCCTTTTGGTTGATGTTGAATTAAATTTCGATGATATTTTTCAAGTATTTCCTTTATGTCGCGTAGATGCCGTATACAGGGTGGTCCAATAAGAATTAGCACTTGAATATCTCCGTTATTTTTAGAGATATGAAAAAGTTTCATTAACAAAAGTTGTTCAGTATAGAGGAGGCTATAATATGGGAGTAATAATTTTTCTGCAGCTTATTTCAATGTCGGTGGCATACTTTTCATTTACAATGCGACAAAACGGGAGCAATCAACTTTTTAGAGGTTATTGTAGAGGGGCGGGGGCTTCCTTTTACAAAGACACTTTAAAACAAATTTCGAAAAAAACTTTTTAAACTCCGGAGGGTCCTTTGAATTTGTAAAATTAAAAATAGAAAAAAAGGAGCTTCAATTTTCCACTCCGTTTTATAATATAAAACTTTCTTGGTCTTTGAAAAAATTCAGTTCAGAAATGTGAAAGTAGAGGTTTCACCCTTTAAGATGAGCCGAGGTACAACAGTTGATAGATCGACAATTTTTTGGTCAAAATTTAGTGATCCTTTAATTTTGTGGAGTAGTGTATAAAACAACTCTTACATCTCTAAGACAACTCAGAGAACTCTTAAATGACTCATACAACATTCTATCTCCAACACTCTGACGACTCTATTTAACACTGACTGACCCTATCTGCAAAAAAACCCACCATACACGCACACTACTTCGGGCGTTCTCCATTAAAAATAGTCAACGCATCGGTGGGCCTTGTGCGTAATCGAGGGTTTTCGAGACGGACCTTTCTTGCGTTGTTGTCGACTAGCACTTTGTTTTTTACTACCTTCATTTTGCGCCTCTTAAAATTACGCACGAAGAGGCAAACATTTTTACGATACCACAATATTACAGTGGTAAAGACACAACTGACCAGGATGGTGAACATTGAAGGTCACAAATTCGAATCTTTAGCGCCTAGACTTATTTTTCCTCTATATTCTCACAGTTTTTATTTTTTTCTCGTTCTTTTTTTATTTTTAATATATGATAGTAATATTGCAATGCAAAGAAAAAACCTTAACAGTTGAAATCTTAACAATGTGTTAATTGACACATGAATTACGTAGCAGACCTCACGTCATGCAGATACTCACACACGAAATGTCTCAAAACAATGCTTTTACATGTGTCTTGTATACATATACATAAGTGCTTATATGAGAGATTTGGAGCACGTTCAATACTGCAAATACTGAAAGTATTTGAACTTGGAAATGAAATTTTTTCCATGAAGAATTAATATGCACACACAATACATTCAAGTATATTCGGCAATTCCTAAAAATTTCGTGCTCAAGGCTATTCAAGGTCTTAAGTTAGGTTTAAGAACATATTTATTTCATTTGACTAACAATAGCACTGTTATAATGACACTCGTTGTAGTTAGTAATTCATAACTTTCTTAATTGTTTGAACTTTGAATAATTCTTCAATTAGTACATTCTAAACACTTTAAGTATACAGAAAAGAGAAAAATTTGTTTATCCTCTACAGCAAAATAATCTCTTTAATATTTACCTCTTTTTATATTTATTACAGGCTGCACTACTTATAGACTTTCTTATCTAGAGAATAATAAGGGGTTAACGTCTATTGAGAACTATGCACCTGTTCGGACGTATCGTCCATCAGATATTCCAATGAAATCGGAAACTGTTATGCAGTTGAGCTATCAGCCTGTAGAGGCTCAAATCCCAGTTGAGAAACCATGGTCTGAACAGCCTGCTTATAATTGTCCCGTGAATCCAATTGATAATAACACTACTTATAATACAAGGTTCGTCATTTTTTTGTATCAATAACTTTACACCTTATAATTGATCACACTGAAGGAATGTGGTTATTATTATTAAATAACGAGACGTGAGTAGGGTTGCGCTAAGTACCCACACGGTATTAGCACGATCTTTATTAGAAGTTGACTGTCGGCGTTGGAGGTCCGTGCCTGACTGCCCTCCTGTCGCCTCGCTTTTTTCTTACTGACTATTGGCTATGTGTTACTCGTACCTGATTGGTTAACCCGTCGCATCGGTGTTAACCAATCAGGTAATTTCTTTCCAAGTCGCTGCGTGTCCCTTGCGCCCTTGGCGCGCTTTTTTGGGGACCGCAGTGCGACTTGGCGGGGGAGGTTTTTCCCGTGACGTCATTTGGCGACATAGCTGAGTTTCCTCCAGGTCAAGTACTCGTGACCTGCCGTCCGGGCCTCTGGGCCTCGTACGGCGGACCTTTCGGAAACCCTTGGTTTATGATGCGGCAATTTGCTATTGAGGCCGTCGGAGAAAGTTTCTACGCGGACATGCATTGTCGAATTTCTAGAAATTAAATAAGCTAAAAACGGTTTCCTCAAAAATAGCCTTTCAAGCGCGCACGTCATAAACCGTGCTGGTAGTCTGCTCGCCAAATGTTCTCCGCTGTAGCTGGTCGCTACAACACGAAAGGAAAAAAATATTTTACGCTTCATATACAGGCTGAATCTATATGTATACCGGACTATATCTATGTTCCTATTGAAGACGTAAAAGAAAAAATTGTAAAGGAAAATTTTGCATTGTTTAACAGGCTCTATCACTTTGTAGTGCAATTTTTTACAGAAGTGCATCGGTGCAGTTGTAAAGTGCAATTGCGTTTGTTTTTTAAATTGATCCCTACAATTTTTTTTTCATATAAATTGATTCCTCATGACATTCTAAATAAAAAACCTCGCAAGAAAAAGTCAAGGTGGTTTAAGCCAGGTGAACACGGTAACCAAGGTGCCAAACCATTTTTCTCCATAGGTTGATGTTACATATGTACATACATACTTATCTCCTTACAGTGCGGACATTATTATCCCGTAGTGCTCCATCCTGCTGATAGTATTTCAGATTGTTTCGCGTTTGTAACGGAACATCCTGGAGCAAATTGGGTAATGTGAATTCTAAGAAATGCCGATATCATTCAGACTTTAAAGTATTGTCGGGAAAGAAATACAGACCGACGAGACACCTATTAAGGGGATACGCAACCATCATGGAAGCCGAAAAGAATTGGACGAATGTAACATTCTTTTTCTCTTATAAATATTTGGTAAAAAGAACAAAATTTTTACAGGGAATATTAAGCAACATCTTAAATCTATTTTCATATTTCTTTTATTACTTTAAAATTACAAAATGGTAGAGTTGCACAACATTATCTACATACATATGTATGTAACTCCATGTTCAGCGGAACCCTGTTAGCTTGCACCCAACGGTAAAAGTGACTGGGATGTAAAAAATAAAAAATTTTTGTGACATCTTAAACAAAAATAGATTATCTTCAATGTAGCATAGGATTTTACAATAATTTTGAAAAATGAGAAAATGGCGGTTTGTTAAAGTCAAAACTATCGTTTTTGCTGAAAAAAATCAAGTATTTATAAAATTTCAACCAATTGAGATATCAAAAAATCCTATTGTTTTTGTGTGTATTATTAACTTATTATAATTACAAAAGGATGATAATACAGTCAACCCTCCTACAACGCGGTACTCTTATAACACGGTTTCCATATAACGCGGTGCCAAAATTGCGACGGCCCTCCTATAACGCGGTTTCCGTTCAACAACATTCCATCAACTTAATTGGTTTAAGAAGATTCTCTATAGCATGAATTTATCTATGTGTTAAATTTTTACAGTTGAAATTAGCGGGGAATTCCCTTCTTTTTGGTGAAGGTACATCACCATTTTCCAATTTCAGTTATCAGGGAATTCCCCTATAAGCGAAGAAACGATGCGAGATTGTTCACAGTGTTCTGTTTTAATGCTTAAAATAGATCGTATGATTGACTGTTGCGTATTTGCGTGAATTTTTTTATTCAATAGCACTGCCGAACTTTCGCTGTTGCAACCACTTACTTTGTCATCAATTTTAAGTGCAACTTACAACTGTTAGTAGGAAACTGTCTGTAAAACCGTGCAGACGTACATATCACGATTAGTGTTCAATAAAACGCCTTTTGCTCGCTTAATTTGTGTTATCGTAATTGGACAACATTACACAATACTGTAAAAATAATAAAAATAAAAATAATGAATAAAAAAAAATAAAAATAAAAATAATTTTATTGTACTTAACATATTATCTTGCCTTTTGTGTTTGTAAAATTTTTTCCACAACCGTATGCACCGTAACTTGATGCTCTGAGAATGCAATTTTCATTCAACGCAGAACGAATCAAACTGATTAACAAGTGATTTTACTTACTTCCGAGTTTCACTCAACGCGGTTCCAGTGTTACGCGGCACGAATTAATCTAGTTTGCACGTTAAATCGGAGTTTCTTATAGCGCGGTTTCCATATAACGCGGTACGAATTAATCGCGTTATAGGAAGGTTGACTGTAAATATTAGATATAGTGAAACGCACTTTTCATCTCACACGTGATGACGGACGAGACGCGCAACACGAAAAACAAAAGAAAATAGGTTTCGCCTAAAGAAAAACGCCTAAACGATAAGTGAGCTCATGGAATATCCATTCAACACGTAATGCGTAAAAATTTCAAGTTGAACGGATGAAGAATTTCGGAGATCTACTGGATACAAGGTCGGAAAACATAGTTTCGAGAAAAACGTATCTTGTAACCTGATTCGTTACGAGGGTGGCGGGCTGACCGAAAAATAATTCTCACTAGCTTACACAGAGTGATATGTTTAATAAGTCCTTATACTAACATTACACTTTACGGAGAGTTATACGCGGAATCGACTTGACACGGTGTTCAGGGAACGGAAAACATATGGACAAGGGTTGCCTCGTGGTCCGTATATGTCCACTCAACGGAGCAAGATCGGAGCCTAGGCAAGGTTTGCTGTCCTTGGATGTCCACTCGAGAGAGCGTCTTAGGAGCAGTGAACCGTGTTGTCCATAAAACTATGGGCCAGTCCTCCTTTTATCGTTGCGGGGGGTGCCCCGGCCAGCGCGAGTGGTTGAGTGGGGGAGTCAACCGCACAGGCGCCCAAGGATGGAATTGGTAGCGGGGGTGCGAACAAGGCAATGTGAGAAGGGCGCCAGTCTGGTGGCCGCCCGGGGCACTACCTCCCTTACGCAGTGCGCTACAATCTAAAGTTTTCGCTAAAGTTTTCAGAATTTCTTTCTTTCTTAATCTGCGAATCCGGATTCATCAAAAGACCCTTTTGCCTCTAAAAAATCGTCAGATTCTTCTTTCTTAGCTGCAGATGTCGAGCTTCTATCGAATTTTCCGAAGCCCGAATCTCCACATGTCTTATTGTCAGTCAGGATGTGGAAAAAACGTGATATTTGCGAATTTGTTTTGAAGAAACTTGTAAACTTTTTACGATATAACTTGCCGTATTTGAATAACTATATTTTCAAGCAACTATGATAATTGTTTCATTAAAAAATATTAATAATTGCCAAAGATATGGCCTCTTTCCTGAATGTCCTTTTTTTAAAAGCGTTTTACGGTGACTGGATTATTTAAAATTTGGATTATTTAAAATAAATAATTTGAAAAAATTTAGTTTTTATATTAAATTATCTAGTCTTCGAACGAAGCGCGTTAGAAAAAATTGATTTGCAATAAAATGGCAACCGTTCAAAGTCAAGGTATCAGTTTTCAATATAAAAAACGCTTGATTTTCGACAATTAAAAAAAAAACTAGCCGTCGAAACAAGAAATCCTTCGTTCAAGGACTAGTTATCTATCCCTTTAATTAACCTTCCAAGTAAATCGATAAAGTGATTTTTGAAATATTTTGGTTACCGATTTGGAAAATGTGGTTCTGAGATAAACGCGTTTAAAGTTTCATGTTGAGTATACCCGCCAACCAAATATTAATTTTTGAACTTGTACAGCTCCGTAGATTTTAATCGAATCAATTTGAAACTTTCAGGAAATATTATCAAGATGATATGCTTAAAAAAAATGTCAAAACCCAAAAATTGAATTTTTCAGAAGTTTTAACTAAGCACATCCTCTTAAGGTTTTTATGATTTTACCTTAATACTGTTTTATTCAGAATGGTATGAGGAATAAATTTATATAAAAAAAAATTTTAAGGGTCCATTTAAAATACAAGAGCAATTGCACTTTGCAACTGCACCGATGCACTTCTACAAAAAATTACTACATAATGATAGAGCTTGTTAAACAATGCAAAATTTTCCTCTACAATTTTTTTTTTTACGTCTTCAATAGGAACAGAGTTATCACCCTGTATAAAGTACATGGATCATTTGGAACGTTCTCGGAATGGGATGAAAAGACAGTTTATGTTGTTTACAAATTTGTATTTTTATTTTTCATTATAATACCTTTAAACATCAATATATTTGAACCAACGATGTTTTAAAACCATTACATCATCATGATTCATGAAACTTCCAGTTTATCAAAATCTGCAAAATATTGATAATAACATATTGACATAGAGAAGAATTTCTTTCCGCCATGGAATTTTTCAACCGTAGGAATAGATGGAAATCAGAGGTACCTAAATCTGGTGAACAAGATGGATGTAGCAATAAATCTTACTTTAATTCCTTGAAAAATTTAAATTCGTATTCGCTTCTGATCAATTGTTGGGAGACATGGCACAGAACACAGAAGAACATTTGTTCAAATAGCTGTATACAAAATACTACGTTGCAGAATGATTTGATATACTATAATGGTTCATATGACGAATGAAAATCTCCGCTCAACTAAAAATTTCAGAACCCTTACTGTCACTTTTACTTCATTCCGAAAACTTTACAAATGACGCGCGTACTTCTTAGTATATTTGAACTTAGTTTTGTCGAATGGAGTTCA